AGAAACAGGCCCAGGTACCAATGATAGATTTCCTCAGCTGGTCCCACGCGGCCGTGTTGTCCCCCAGCCAGTGTCCTGCCCAGCGGCCAGAAGAGGGGAATGTGGAGCGGGTGATGACGATTCCTCGCTGTCCTGTCACCTCCTGCACAGCTCTGGTTGGAGGAGAATAAGGAGATGAAATGATGCCAAATGGGGAGAAGAAAGGCGACAGGGCTCTACCTGTAAAATCCGTGTGCCTGGGGCATGTGATGAAGTGTTGCTAAGTGACCCATCAAGAGTATCAACATCTGGAACTTAGGGTTGTGCAGACTGATGGAGATACCAGCAGTTGATCTTTTCAGTGTTTCACAAACAGCTCACTAGATGGTAAAACACTGGCTTAGCCTGAAATTATAAGCAAACACTAAATCTGCTACTTATTTACTCAGGATTTGGTTGTATCCTTGAGGCACAAAGAGGCAATTTCCTCTTTACAATTTCACTGAAGATACTATTTATTATTCATTGACCTTACAAATTAGAAAATGCTAGGGAAACAGAAGATTCATGGACTATTCTATAAGAATGGTGAGAGAATAAGAGTAGAGACTTCTCCTTTTTGCGATAACAGAGAGGCACTTACCTTCCACATTACTTTTTGAGTCTTCTAACTAAACCTATGATTGGACTGGCTGCATTGAGTAGTAATCACTCGTGTCCCTTTGTGTGTGTCCCCATCTGGATTACTAGCATCTCTATCATGGGACCATTTCCTTATTTAAATCAGTCCTATCAGTTCCTATCAGCCATATAGGGTCTGGCTGTATGATTAAGATTTCCTGTGGCTTATAATTGAACTCCTCCTAACCATTACAATGACAAATGAAAGGAACAGTACAGAATCTATACCCATCCCTGGCTGGCCTGAAAGATTCTGTCAACTAGAGAAGGCAGAGAGCAACTCACTCATAGGTGGGCCTGGTCTGGGACCATCCATACAGGCTGTGCACGTCATAGTGACGCACTTTGGAGCCATCGGGAAGGATCTGCTCACTCTCCATGCACAGGGTTTTGCTGCTTAGGCCCCTGTCTCTGGCCTCCAAATCTGAGGGGAAAGATTTAGTAATGTAACAACCAGAAAATCTCTTTAAAGGACTGAATTCTGCATCTATACACTCACTGGAATTCAGCACAGTTCCCTTTCCTGCATCCCAAAAGCAAGATAACAATGGTTCGCTACGTGATAAAATGGCAGGTTCTACACTAAAATGGCTTCATCCAGACTATTCAACATCAAGGGCACTAGACAAAGTAGAAGTTTCTGTGAAAACTCAGGATTCCAATACACTGCATAATTGAGGATGATATGATCTATTAACCAAAAAATTATTTCATATAATTCTATGAGAAACATAAGGTTTCCAGTATCCTAAGGTATAGAAAGCTGAGATTTTCTTTTATTTCAACAAGAAAAAAAATAAAAACAATGATACAGAATTTCAAAATAAGATAATAGGAAATTAACAATGGTTATTTTAGTGCATATTGCTATCTTTGAAGTAGTTGCTCAGACTACTAGATATAGGAATGCAAAATTGATCAAACAATATAAGCACAAACCATTCCTTTCAATGAACTAATAAAATTAGTAGAATAATTACCTCAGCTATCTTCTTGTGCATATATATATACTTTTTATTTTCCCTTCCTTCTTTTCTCTTTTCTGCCATCCCAGTTTCTCTTTCCTTTTGAGCAGTTTCATTTCCCTTCACAATACTGATTGTACATTTTGGATCTTACATATTCCTTCAATTTCTAAGCTTTACATAATCTATGGAAAGTCACAAAATTTATAGAAAGTATACTTCCTAGGGATTAACATATAAGTACAACTTCAAAGCCCATGGAGTCCATGGCCTGCAATAGAAGAGGATGTCAAAATTTATGCCAATTGGTGGCAAAAGAAATTATTCAAGGTATATTAACACTATAAACAGCTATGAATGAATCTGTCTCACAGATGAGAAAAAACAAGAGTTGCT